ACGAACCTGTTTGGGCTCGAACCTTTAGGGTTCTTTTTAGGGCTGCATGTAATAAAATAAATTTCATTGGAAGAAGAACGGAGAGGGGAGCGATTTTTAATGGTACTCGGATCAAAATTACCGAAAAAATGTGGCAAATTTTACTGTACGAAAGGTACGAAAGGTATGAAAAAATTTAATAGAACAAGGAGGGCTTCGAGCCTACACTGTTAGAAAAAAGACAATTAGTAAATTTTCCGGACAGTGACACTAAATTCGATTTAGGTAAAAAATCATTGTTGATTGAATGACTAATCTATGATATTGAAATGTAATTGAATTCCTCACTAGATAAGCAATAATTTTTTTTTAATGATTATTCATTAATACGGTATTTACAAAATGTGAATTGCTTAATAGCCATGCGTAATGTGACTAAGTAAATAAAATTCTCGTGATAAAATTAATTTGCTCTGTCAGTGCAGAAATTCATCGATTTTCATTAGATCTTGAGAATTTCATCAATCAAGATGTTTGAAAAACTGTGAAATAAAATGTGAAAGACTCCATATTAATTTCATCAGAGATATTCAAGGTGAATAAATCTACTCTCAGGCGGAATCTCCGTTCTCCCAGAATGGAATCTCCGTGAGATCAAAGTCCATTCACGAATTCTCAAATCTCTCCAAAAACACACGTGGAGATGATTGATTTATTTAGACTATTCACTTCTACGCTTCATTTGAGCGTAATGCCTATGTTGACATTTCCGTGCGGCTGCGAATCTATTCTGATCTCCAATCCTTAAATCATCAATGAGCCAGGGATCGAGTTATGACAATTTTTATGGCTTTACCAATGAGATAAAAAAGTAAGAGGAAGGGAAAACCAAACGACACGAACACGTGTATTACCCGGGCGCCTCGTGAATATAACTCCACATTAATTTACGATCGTACTTCAAGCACAAGAATTTGTAATTGGGATTGTAAATAATGAGGCATTGATGCCCACATTTGTATCCAGCGATTTCTCCAGGAGGGCGACCACCAAAATTTTAATCGAACAAAAAAAAAACGCAAATTTACGAGTCGAACTGACGATTTAATTTTTGCACAATTTTTTTCAACCCGTCACAAATTCATTTTATTTATGGAATATTCAGTGCAAGTTGAAATCGTCCAGAAACCAACCCCCGTCCAGAAATTTACCTGTTTACCCTGAATCTAAGAAATTTGAAATTCAGTTGCTATTGAGACAATTAGTAATGGTGTTTGGATGAATTTATTTGACCGCTGTGTGCGTCAGGCAAGGCTCAACGAGATGGTTAATGCCTAAAAACAATTTTTGGATGGAATAATCGTGGGGGAAACTATATGAAGATCGAGTTGTGTCACTCCACGTCCGACGTGCACTATAAAAAAAATGCTGAATGACCTTGATCATGCGTAGGTGAATGACTCGAGAGACGGAACCTGTATCTTTACAGTCTATTTTTCCAAATGATGAATGTCAAGATCGAATAATTGTCAGTCAGTAATTATATTTGCATAAGATAATTAAAAAGATCGCTATAAAATTTGACTTTGTCAATTGAAGTGTCTAAAAAATTGTAGGAGTTTTTAGAACAACATATTCCCCAAAATTTCTAAAGAAAACAAATTATTTCGGACAGGTGAATTATTTTTTCAAACGTTGAATGAAATTGCCCATGACGCGATGTTGCCAGAAACCCGCTAAACGCGCCCGGGCAGTGTAGAGTGAATTCGGCAACGGTGAAGCCTAAATACCACAGCGGGGAATCCCCGCTGATCCTTATTTTTCTCCTCTCCACAAGCGCGCGTAGTGGGGGCATACGAATTCCCGCAATCGCGTTCTCCTCCTGCCCCTAAGGTATCTTATATGAAGCCTTGACTGTATTAATGGACTTGTGCCCATCATTGGTACATGTTTCGATAGATCTACAGAGAGGCCGTCGAGACGAGTATTTTGAAAAAGAAAAATTCAAATCCGCCGAATAGTTGGTGAGAAAACCAGAATATAACGTGTTTTGGTAAAATCGGACGCCCTCGCATGCCATCACAGGGAAAATTCGGAATATGAGTGGAGGGGAAGGCGCTGGGGAATAAGAGTATAGCAGTAGTAGCTGTTTCATGCATACGTCTTGCGGTATCACTCATCCCTGAATGGATTTTAGTAAAATGAAAAAAAGCAATACGAATCAAAAAGAAACACAAATCGACGTGTGCAAAAATTAATAGGATTTTTTAGAACAACATATTCCCCAAAATTCCTAAAGAAAACATATTATTTCGGACAGGTGAATTATTTTTTCAAACGTTGAATGAAATTGCCCATGACGCGATGTTGCCAGAAACTCGATAAACGCGCCCGGGCAGTGTAGAGTGAATTCGGCAACGATGAAGCCTAAATAGCACAGCGGGGAATCCCCCCTGATCCTTATTTTTCTCCTCTCCACAGGCGCGCGTAGTGGGGGCATACGAATTCCCGCAATCGCGCTCTCCTCCTGTCCCTAAGGTATCTTATATAAAGCCTTGACTGTATTAATGTACTTAGTAGTGCCCATCATTGGTACATGTTTCGATAGATCTACAGAGAGGCCGTCGAGACGAGTATTTTGAAAAAGAAGAATTCAAATCCGCCGAATAGTTTGTGAGAAAACCAGAATATAACGTGTTTTGGTAAAATCGGACGCCCTCGCATGCCATCACAGGGAAAATTCGGAATATGAGTGGAGGGGAAGGCGCTTGGGAATAAGTATAGCAGTAGTAGCTGTTTCATGCATACGTCTTGCGGTATCACTCATCCCTGAATGGATTTTAGTAAAATGAAAAAAAGCAATACGAATCAAAAAGAAACACAAATCGACGTGTGCAAAAATTAATAGGATTTTTTAGAACAACATATTCCCCAAAATTCCTAAAGAAAACATATTATTTCGGACAGGTGAATTATTTTTTCAAACGTTGAATGAAATTGCCCATGACGCGATGTTGCCAGAAACTCGATAAACGCGCCCGGGCAGTGTAGAGTGAATTCGGCAACGATGAAGCCTAAATAGCACAGCGGGGAATCCCCCCTGATCCTTATTTTTCTCCTCTCCACAGGCGCGCGTAGTGGGGGCATACGAATTCCCGCAATCGCGCTCTCCTCCTGTCCCTAAGGTATCTTATATAAAGCCTTGACTGTATTAATGTACTTAGTAGTGCCCATCATTGGTACATGTTTCGATAGATCTACAGAGAGGCCGTCGAGACGAGTATTTTGAAAAAGAAAAATTCAAATCCGCCGAATAGTTGGTGAGAAAACCAGAATATAACGTGTTTTGGTAAAATCGGACGCCCTCGCATGCCATCACAGGGAAAATTCGGAATATGAGTGGAGGGGAAGGCGCTGGGGAATAAGTATAGCAGTAGTAGCTGTTTCATGCATACGTCTTGCGGTATCACTCATCCCTGAATGGATTTTAGTAAAATGAAAAAAAGCAATACGAATCAAAAAGAAACACAAATCGACGTGTGCAAAAATTAATAGGATTTTTTAGAACAACATATTCCCCAAAATTCCTAAAGAAAACATATTATTTCGGACAGGTGAATTATTTTTTCAAACGTTGAATGAAATTGCCCATGACGCGATGTTGCCAGAAACTCGATAAACGCGCCCGGGCAGTGTAGAGTGAATTCGGCAACGATGAAGCCTAAATAGCACAGCGGGGAATCCCCCCTGATCCTTATTTTTCTCCTCTCCACAGGCGCGCGTAGTGGGGGCATACGAATTCCCGCAATCGCGCTCTCCTCCTGTCCCTAAGGTATCTTATATAAAGCCTTGACTGTATTAATGTACTTAGTAGTGCCCATCATTGGTACATATTTCGATAGATCTACAGAGAGGCCGTCGAGACGAGTATTTTGAAAAAGAAAAATTCAAATCCGCCGAATAGTTGGTGAGAAAACCAGAATATAACGTGTTTTGGTAAAATCGGACGCCCTCGCATGCCATCACAGGGAAAATTCGGAATATGAGTGGAGGGGAAGGCGCTTGGGAATAAGTATAGCAGTAGTAGCTGTTTCATGCATACGTCTTGCGGTATCACTCATCCCTGAATGGATTTTAGTAAAATGAAAAAAAGCAATACGAATCAAAAAGAAACACAAATCGACGTGTGCAAAAATTAATAGGATTTTTTAGAACAACATATTCCCCAAAATTCCTAAAGAAAACATATTATTTCGGACAGGTGAATTATTTTTTCAAACGTTGAATGAAATTGCCCATGACGCGATGTTGCCAGAAACTCGATAAACGCGTCCGGGCAGTGTAGAGTGAATTCGGCAACGATGAAGCCTAAATAGCACAGCGGGGAATCCCCCCTGATCCTTATTTTTCTCCTCTCCACAGGCGCGCGTAGTGGGGGCATACGAATTCCCGCAATCGCGCTCTCCTCCTGTCCCTAAGGTATCTTATATAAAGCCTTGACTGTATTAATGTACTTAGTAGTGCCCATCATTGGTACATGTTTCGATAGATCTACAGAGAGGCCGTCGAGACGAGTATTTTGAAAAAGAAGAATTCAAATCCGCCGAATAGTTTGTGAGAAAACCAGAATATAACGTGTTTTGGTAAAATCGGACGCCCTCGCATGCCATCACAGGGAAAATTCGGAATATGAGTGGAGGGGAAGGCGCTTGGGAATAAGTATAGCAGTAGTAGCTGTTTCATGCATACGTCTTGCGGTATCACTCATCCCTGAATGGATTTTAGTAAAATTAAAAAAAGCAATACGAATCAAAAAGAAATACAAATCGAATATAATGCTAGAAAATTAGGCTGTGAAGTGGCAATAACTGGAACATTAACGATAGCTTTGATGTAAATGAGAACAATAGAGGAATGCCAATAAATTATATTTTCCCCGACAAACGTTTACTTCGAAATGAGTTAAGAAACGTCATTACTCATCTCATTCAACGGTTTTTGGGAGTTCACAGTTTCCAAAATTCTATTTTAAAGAAATTTGTATTTTATTTTTTTTATACAATGCATTTTCTGACTGCTACATGACAATCACATTGAATTTCGTTCCTTCCATTTGTTCAAGCTACTATTTGAACCGAAAAACAAAGAATGGAAACATTAACGTATGTAAATAAACGTGTTGAATTGTTGTTTCATGTATTAATGCATCTCTGGGCTGTCTGTGGAACTCACTGAGTTCGACCTTTAGAAAATTCGAATCACACTCGAGAGATAATCAGATATATCAGTTAATAAAAAAAAAAGAAAATCGTATCACTTCATTTGATGTATGACGCTGGTTGTTTGTAATTCGTGTTATTGTGTTTGTTTCGTTTTGCTGTTGAGGCTTCTTCCATGACCGCGTTTAACTTTGATCCATGATGTTGGCTTCGTTGACGTTGCTACCTGAGCAGTCTTTTTGAATAGTGTCGAATAAACTACGCAACTCTGGAGTCGATTTTATTATACTGACGAAATCGGTTAATGCTGGATTTTTATCTGAAATGATGAAACGAAAAACAAAATTAATCATGTATAAAATGAGGAAATGAGGAAGTAAATTTACTCGTTCGTCAATCGTTCTCATGATGCCAATAGGATTGCATTTTCATATCACGGGAAAATTTGAGGGTTTATGCTTGAGAATAACAAAAAATTAACAATTTTCTTGTTTCAGCAGTCGATTGCAATATTTGGGATCTTGAGAGATAATTTTACTCGGTTGTTGATACATTGTGTTAATATTGAATGAACTTTTCATATTTTGTGGGAACAATTTTACTAAAAATGCGAAGTACTATTCTTATTCTTGACGACAAAACAGAATTGCATTTTGGAGTCATTTGAAAATTGAAGGATTCTTGTGAAAAATTATGAAGAACTGAGAAATTTTATTCTGTCAATTACCAGGTGTCAATTGTCAGGTTCCAGAGACTCTGTATGTGTAATTAAACGTTTAAATTTAGTGTAATTATGTGTTAATTAATGTATTTAATTTGACCCTATAATGGGCTCCTGTTTTAAAAATCTCTGTAATGGGCCCCATGTTATAAAAATCAGGCTCTTAATGTTATAAAAATCCAAATCGAGTTTTTGTGATGAAAATTTTGTACTCGAAATTAAGACTTCTAAATTAAAGATCACAAGGGTCAAAATAAGGGTTACGAGGGTCATAAAAAGGGTCACTAGCGTCAGATTAAGGGTCAAAACAAGGGTCACGATTAGACGAGGATAGACAATAATTCTATCATTTTAATCGATGTATAACCGAGTTGTAAATTTTACGTGAACCAACTTCATGTATTCATTCAATTCGATACTTTCACTGACAACATACTGTTGAGCCTATAGACAATAAATAAATTAATAAATGAACAGTGCATATGTGTAATTTTATTGAAATTATATTTACCAGCATCTGGAATAGTCAACAGTGCAGCAACTGCCCTCAATGCAGATCTTTTGAGTTCATCCTGTTTCTCGTACTCCTGTTTCACTGAATTAGCTTTGACTTTTTGGGTGCAAGTCATCTTCAGTGGATCCACCAGTCTATCGAGCCCTTATGAGAAACAAACGTGAAGAAGATTAATCAATTCTGATGAAATAATCTAATAATAAATCCTCTTTTGGTGTGTATTCAATATGGAAAAATCTCAAAATTGTGAACAATTTTCTTCTTATTTTATTTGAATAGCTATCCCTTCAAAAGAAGTTTTGTCGACTAAAAAAAATCCGCTATTGAAATGATTGCGCTCTGCGTGATTGAATAATTTTGGCTCTAAATTCTTCTATCCAGTTCAAGCCAACTGGCTTGAACATTAGCTTAGGAATATTTCGGAATCCAAGGGAGATAGCGAAATTTTCGTAATTACATTTGTTGTAGATCTCAACCAGCTCTAGAAAAAAGGTTATAACAAAAATTTAGCTATCTCCCTTGGATTCCAGGTTATCCATTGAAAACTGGTCAATAGTCACAATTGACTTGTACCACTTTACCACTTCGCTACTGAAGAAGTGGTGTTTTTTCTAATGAATGTAGAAATGAACTTGACGTACTCTGGAGGACAGCGGTGGGACAGAGCTGCGCCAGCCTGGCAGTCATGAGGTACGTCAGCATCTTAATGTCGTAGTGATCCTTGAGGCCGTTCTCCACGTGCTGAAGGAACTCGAAAACGTCGAGCCTGTCGAGACAGGAGTCAAGTAGTGTGTACATGCACTCAAATGCTGCTTTTCGGAGGTCCAGACCGTCGTCCACTGTGTGCTTGAAGGGTCCCATTTCCACTTCTCTTATGAGCTCTTTCTACAAAAGTTAAAAATTCAACATAGCATTTAAAGCAGAATAGTATGAATAGACTTTAGTTTAACCGTTGAGTGCAACGAGGAAAAATAAATTCAAAAAGCAAATAAAAATTCAACGTTGATCATTTTTCCCGTAAATTCAAACTGATGAGGATGTAAAATTGTTCGATCAAATTCTTTCTTCAGTTATTTTTTTAAACAACAGTCTCTCCGTTGCGGGCATGTAGAGACATAAATTATTTATTATAAAAATTTGACACTGATGATAATTCTCATATTGGACATAAGCTATTCATTTTTTCGGATTTTTCTAGTTTTTTTTTCAGATTTTAATCTCTTTTTCAATGACATTTAAAGTGGTATGAATAGACTCTAGTTGAGTTGTTGAGTACAGTGAGGAAAAATAAATTCAAAAAGCAAATAAAAATTCAACGTTGATCATTTTCCCCGTAAATTCAAACTTTGATGAGGATGTGAAATTGTTCGATCAAATTTCTTCTTCAGTTATTTTTTTAAACAATAGTCTCTCTGTGGTGGGCACGTAGAGACATGAATTATTTATTATAAAAGTTTGACACTGACGATAATTCTCATATTGGACATAAGCTATTCATTTTTTCGGATTTTTCTAGATTTTAATCCCTTTTTCAACCTCTAAAAGTTGATTCTCTCATAAGACTGCGGTATTTTTGCACTTCCAGATTAATTACTATCAATAAAACTAAACTGTTGATTAAACACAAACTCAAGTAGAATGTTTCTATTCAGATTAACTTTCGTTTAAATTCCTTTCCGATTTCAATCTTCAAAATTCCAGTTACATTTATACAACTTCAATAAAATTGAATCCAATAATCGTGGAAGGGATTGCATCAACAAACACATTAATTAATCACTGATTCTCAACGATAAGTCGGCAATCAGTGAACCCGACTGATAATTGAACTAGCCTCATGGACTCTGACTGCAAGAAAAAAACGATACGTTGAAGAAATTGAACCCAATTACGATCGAAACAAAAAGAATGGATGAAACATCGAGAAACTGAAGCCAATTACAATCTAAACAAAACGAAAGGCTGAGACATTGCTTAATGAAATCAGTAGCGAACTGGTAAAACGGTTTAAGTCGACTATTGACCAGTTTTCAGTGAATATCTCGGAATCTAAGGAAGGTAGCTAAATTTTTGTCAAGACCTTGTTTGAAACGTAGCTCAACCTCTCCAAGACCAAGGTCGATCAGCTCGGCCAATTACGAAAATCATCGGCCTTTTCCGGGTCAACGCTCAGGTCTAGTAGAGTCACCGTAAATCAACGCGAGTCAGTATAAAACGATCGGCCAAATAGTCCGTTTTGATTAGAATTCAACTCCGTATTTGAGTAACGCGCAGAGTGTAGACACGTTCAGTACATTAACGTCTATTAGCTCGGCGGTAGAAATTCAGTAAAGAGAAAATCACGTTATTTATTGGCCACTTAACCAGTGACTCAACAGTGCAAAAACTATAACCAATTAAAATTAATTCAGTACGATCAACTGGTGACAAGGTGTTTTGTAAATTTGACAAAGCGTGGTTTGAACGCGAGAATAAATTAACGTTCATATTAGGTCAAGACTCTCAACAGTTATTTCACACCGACGATCCTCTAACCTCCCAATCGACCCTAAATTTAGTTCCTCACCAAACAGACCTTTTTTATAGCACTCAATTTGCCCTAGAAAAAAGGTCATTACGAAAATTTCGTTACCTCCTTTCAATTTGGAGATATTTTTCAAAAACTCAAATAAGAGATAAGTCGACTTAAACCGCTTTACCATTTCGTTACTGAAATGGATATTTGGCAAAAATAATTGTCTCTGTGAAATTACCGATTCTGAAGCTCCCATTCCCACGCACAACTCCCTCCCACCCCCCACCGCCAACCCACTCACCTTAATCTTCGTCTCAGCATAGAGTTTGGGGAGCACCGAGTCCAGCAGATCCCTGATGAGCATCGGTTTGTTGTGGGCTGCCGAGTTGAATGCGACAAGAGCGACCCTCCTGACATTGAGATCAGGATCCTCCAGAGCGACCAAGAAGCTCCCCATGCACTGCTTCAGCATAACATCAATGGCCTGTGGCTGATCGGAAATGGTGAACTTGACAGCAGTGACTGTAGTCGTCCTCATCAACGGTGACGCCGACTTGAGTGACTCCTGTAGTCTCGGCAGAAGCGTAGCAGGATCAATGAGCGTGAGTTTCCCAAGGCACTCTGCCACGACATTCCTGGTGCCCTCCTCAGTGCACTCGCAGTGCCTGTACAGCAGCATCCAGATGGCAGGGACAAAATTCTGAAGATTGGAAACCCCGGAGGGACTGCTCGACTGGCACGTGATGATCTCCTTCAACGAGTGAAGCACAAGATACTGCCTCTTGGGCTGTCCCTCAATCTCCTTCAGAATGAAGGGAAGATACTCAGGTAGATTACCCACCGCAATATTCCCAAGAGTATAGCTGGCAGCGGACTTGACCTCCTCAGAATGCGAGGAGAACGAGCTCAAGATAACACTCTTCAAGGGCTGAATGCCACTCAGATCCACGTGCTTTCCAATCTCTCCGATCACCAGCAGAGCAAAAATGTGCTGTGAATCCGAGGCTGGATCCTGAACGTTCTTGATGAACTGCTCGACAACGCCGTGGGCCTCCTGCTGCCAGGTGATTGTCAGAGCAGCTGCACACTTGGCCAGCGAGTGGTACGCCTGCTTGTGGAGGACAGAGCTCGTCACTGGTGCCACCAGCATCGCCAGGAGTTCCCTGTACCCCAGCCCCGGAATGCCAGCCTGCACCAGAGCCTGAAAGAACTCCAGCATGGCGTTCAGTGCAGCTCCCTGGAGCAGCGGAGACTTCACGAGGACCAGAATCTCCGGCAAAATTGTCTCTGAAATTCTCGTCAAAGCAGCTGGATGGAGCTTGGCTACTGTCGTCAGAAGGGTCAGGGTCAACTGGGCAATGTGGAGATCTGATTCATTGAGGAGTGCTGGCAGTTCTGTCGTTACCTTGTCAAGAAGATCGGTATGAAGACTGACGGAGTAGCTCTTGACGAGTGTCTCCAGCAGAGTCAGCGAGCACAGCTTCAAAGCCCTGTGGTTTTTCCTGAGGAAAGATCCCAGAATGGGAACAGCCTCCTCCATAATCGGTTGGAGATCAACTCTCAGTGGTGATGCTGCGATGCAGGTCAGGGCCTTAACAGTCGTCAGTCTCGTGATCTCATTTCTCAGCCTGTCCAGGAATATCGGAAGGCAAACTGGGAGTTCCTCCTGCAAAGTGTCACTGAGGTGCGCCAAAATCTGTCCCATACAGGCGATTGCTCGCTCCTTGACTTCCTGATCGATGTCAGCAGTCTTCAGTCTCATCAGAGTGCATCTGTAGATCTCACTGACGAGATTGGTGAAGTCGTAGTTGACGGGTTTGTCGTGGGGCCTGATGACCTGCACCAATTGCTGGAGAACGAGAAGTGCCTCAGCTGTGATCTTGTAGAAGGCGTCTGACACTGCTGTGATTATCGGTGGTGCGAGGACTGTCATGTGGGCGTGAAATGCCTCAGGTTGATGGGTTATCAGCAGAGTGTGGACGAAGGCTAGAGTGTCGATCTTCATGTTGGAGGAGGAGTTCTTGTCCCCTAGGGAGTACTGAATCCCTGGGATCAGCGAGGGAATGTGATTGGTGAGGGCCCCCGGCAGGACAAGAACGAGTTCCTTCAGCAGTGAAAAACAATCCTGACGGGTTTTGATGCTCTTCTCCTTCATCTGCCGATGCACGGCCTTGACGATCATGGGGACCTGCTGTTGGAGGAGGGAAATCGGGCACTCCTCGTCCTCCATGGAGTCCGGATCGAGTGCTACACTGGACGTCGGCCTTGTCTGACGTAGAAGGGCTATGTAAGCGTGAAAAATATCGGATTTGACGTTCTCCTCGCGCTCTTTGAACCTCGCTATCAACGCTGGTGAGACGATCTTGTATAGTTCAGGGAGGAGCTCTCGCCTGCTGGAGACCACAGCCTCGAGACACTTGGCAGCTGCTCTTCTGACCTTCCAGCTCATGTCGTCGTCGTCCGAGTACTCCTCCTCGCCGTCCTCCTCACCGTCCTCCTCGGTCTCCATTGTCACGCCTTCACTATCGGACAGGTCGCTGACGTCGTCGTCGTAGTTGTAATTTGGATCGTACGTTATGTACGTCAGGCAGATGTCGATGATCTTGTTGATGTGGGGGGTGATCTCCTTGGGGCAACGGTAGACAAATGCCTCGAATGCCTGGAGGCAGTACTCCCTGAGCTCGTCGTCATCCTCGTTGGAGTACTGAACTATCAGGGGCATCACTCGCTCGATCTGCTCGCCAAATCGGTGGCCAGCCTGACGGCAGATCGATGCGATGCACTGGATGTACGTGCGAATGACGTTCTTGACTTTTTGGGTGGTGAGACCCTCCAGGAGGTGATCGAGGAGCTTCTTGTAGAGGTAACTGTTGCTGGAGGTCAGCAGGTGGCTCAGGGCGACGATCGTTCGTTTTCTCACTGCCTGGCGGGGCGACGAGAGCTGGGGGAGGAGGGCTGTGAGGATCTGCTGGTGAAAACTCGAGAGGAGAGAGCCGAAACGCGACAGAAGGTCTGCCACAATGTCCAGGGCCTCCAGCTGGACTGAAACGTCCTCTTGCTTCTCGATTGCTGAGGAGAGACGACCTGTTATGCGCTTGCATATGTTCTCGGCGAGGTCGTTGGAGCCCATTGGCAGCTCTGAGATCACTGTCTTTAGGCCTATGCTGGAGATGTCTCGGAGCTGCTCTTTGTCCGATATCATGTTGGTGCAGAGGGCGTCCACTATTGTCTCTACTTGGTACTCTTTCACTTTGTTCACGAGGGGTCCCAGACACTTTACCGCGAGGTTCTGGACCTCTCCGTTCTTGTCTTCCAGTAGGCGCAGCAGCATCTTTACGACTTTACGCTCGGAGTCGTCGTCCAGCTTTATCGAGTCCTTTTGGAGCTCTGACATGAGGTCGTTTGTCGCCATGAACCTGAAGTCTTTGTCGTTTGACGTCATCTGGGGGAGATGGGGTTTGTTATTTTTTTGGGGAGGAGGTGAGTGATTGGGGTGAGAAATTCGGGTTTGTTGGCTGGGTTTATTCCCTTTTTCCCTTCGTATTCGACGTTCTTTAGGATGAGGGGTTTAGGAGAATGTGAGAATATTCTCTACTGAAAAGATTGGCGAAATCGTAGTGCAGAATTAAAATCACTTTTTTTATCAAATCAGGGAACAGTATTGGACAGTTTTTCGAATATTTTATAGATGAATAATCAACTTGGCAGGATTGATGGTTGTGAGATTAACTGAAAAAATTAAATTCAGATAGAAATAATTGTTTGATTATAATTCAGAATTGAAAATTATTTTCGAATTTAAATGAATAGTAAGGAACTTTGATTAATTTATGGTAAAGTTCTTTTAAAATTAGTTGGCAAGAATTTTTGCAGATCCCTGTTCAAAATACCTACACTGAAAAAATTACGTGAGACACGTAATTTCACTATCGAATCTCGTGACACAATGATTGCTGATTTCGAGTGATTTCATAGGATTTTGTCTCCGATTTCATAATTTCAAATGATTTTACTGATTTCGTGTGATTTCATCCCAGAGTGACACAGTGATTTCACCAGTGAATAAACCCTCGTGTGTATAAACAACGAATATCTAAAAAACTAATAATTCTGTGCAAAACGTAATTTTAATGACGCGGAATATTCACGATTTTTTTCAAATTTTCTCACGCGATTTAATTGACAAATTTGATTATTGAAAATGGTTCAATCTATAGTGTGGTCTGTCTCCAGTAAAATACTTTTCAACTTTTGTAGTCGAACATGAGAGCTTTCTCTTGCGCCCCATTTGACCCTAAAGTTTCGGACATTTTGCAATGATTTTATTATTTAAATTTTGCAAGCCTGAATTTGAATCTCGATATCGAACCGTTAGAAAACATTTTTTAAATTTGAAAAAAAATAGAAAGTTTACTTCTGGAGAAAGATTGATAAGATAATCTAAATACTGCAATTTTTGAAAATTACGAGCATTTTCTATAACTAATTTATAAACAATCAATCTTTTCACCATAAAAATCATTTGTTCAGAATCGTAACAAATTTATTCATCTTGTAAACTTCCCCAGACATCGATTTCAAACCTAAAAAAACAATAAATAAACAATTGCAATTATTTATTTATAAACAACGAATATCTAAAAAAGTAATAATTCTGTGCAAAACGTAATTTTAATGACGCTGAATATTTATGATTTTTTCAAATTTTTCTCACGTCATTCAATTGACAAATTTGATGATTGAAAATGGTTGAATCTACAGTGTGGTCTGTCTCCAGTAAAATGCTTTTCATTTGACCCTAAAGTTTCAGATCTTTTACTATAATTTGATTATTTAAACTTTGCAAAACTGAATTTGAATTATTAGAAAACATTTTAAAAATCTGAAAAAAAATTAGAAAGTTTACCTCTGGAGGAAGATTGATAAAATAATCTAAACACTGCAATGTTTGAAAATTACGAGCATTTTCTATAACTAATTTATAAACAATCAATCTTTTCGCCATAAAAATCATTTGTTCAAAATCGTAACAAATTTATTCATCTTGTCAACTTCCCCAGAAATCGATTTCAAACCTAAATAAACAATAAATAAACAATTTCAATTATTTGTTTATAAACAAAGAATATCTAAAAAACTAATTCTGTGCAAAACGTAATTTTAATGACGCTGAATATTCATGATTTTTTCGAATTTTTCTCACGCAATTTAATTGACAAATTCGATGGGACATCCTTAAAAAAATTGAATGCATAACTAATATAAAAAAAGTGTAAAAAATGGCAGATAAATAGATAATGCGGGTACGACCGAGGATGAAGTGTATGGGGAGGGCGCGATGTTTACTGCAAATGAGCTGCGACTCATTCCTACTCAAGACCGAAACTACGCCCCAATTTTGTCCTATTCTTTAATAATTTTCCCATGGCTTCCTGTTAGAGCTTTTGACTATCTACAGGGGGTCATTTCCCGGGTGGTTTTGCGAAATTTCTCTCAAACTCAGACCGTTGAGGTTATGTTTACGAATTAATCCGATGCCGAAGGAGATAAACCTCTGCGACGAGACAAAGGAGGTTTTTGGTATTTTAGACTCTCACGTTCATAGATATTTTCCCATTATTTTTCTCACCTTCTCCAGCAGATTTGCTATTTGATACGAGACACTAGCCATGGTGGAAGTGATTTATCAGTCCCTTTTTCACGATTCGAATTCTACAAAAATTATTTTCTCTCTGATAATTCAACTTGTCACTTCTCGCCAATGCTTCCCCTCTTCTCGACAAACACCGGAATATTCGTGAGTGGAGGGAGTGCTATTGGCGGAGAGTCGGCGTGAGAAGCCACGGGGATTGGTGAAGCTGCGAGGGGGGCGGGGCGGAAATTCGTGAGGTGCGTTTGGAGATTTCATATGTTTTTAGGGGGTATGGACGTAATTTTTTATTATTGATTGTTCTCTGTTACCTCCTTCGTAATTATGTATTTCAATTATGAAGTCAGTAATTGTTTTTGAGGGTTCATTTATCTGTGGGTTGAAAGGTATTGAAGAAATGTCTGCTGTCACGGAGAGGGGGAATCGCGGGAGAATTTGAAGGGCACGGAACCAGCTGAGAATCTCTCTATATAATAAAAAATAAAAAAATTCAGGTGACGGTGAAAATTCAGGCGAGATTTCGCATTCGGCGACGCTAAGATGACAACGTCGGCACAGGGTCGGGTCAATGTCGGCCCGGGATTGGACCAATGTCGGCTCAGGGTCGGACCACATGTCGGGACCTCATACTTTCAGAACTGCTGTTTCTGTTGCCTTTAACAGGTTTGCCTGATTTTGTCTTCTCTGTTTTTTTCGTTTCTTCAATAACATTAACATTTTTGTACTCTTATTTCCTATCGTCCCTTTTGATTTACGTTTCATTAATAAATGTGTGTCTCCATATGCATTCATTAAAAATTTTCTATGCATCTCATTTCACGGTCAAATATGAATAATGAAGTTGTTGAAGAAACCCCTTGGTCATACCTTCACGGTCACACGGGGGGGGNGGGGGGGGGTCGAGCGAAGCGAGCGGGGGGCGGGCCCCCCCTGATTGCCGAGCGAAGCGAGCAGGGGGCGGGGACCCCTAGTAACCAATAGAAATCCAATAGAATTGTCTAGTGAATCCCTTAGGGTTTTGCATGATTACGCCGTTTTTTACGGTCGTAAATTACGTCGACAGGGTTTTTACATTTTTTACATTACTTCGAAAATCTAGCAGTTTTTCGTTACTAGAATGTTTTATACATTTTTTAAGTTTTCTCACGTAAATTATTTAATTAAAATTTTTACAATGTCATGTAAAAAACTGCGGTTATCGACAGATGCCCAACCCTGATGATAGGACACGTTATCACGTAATTTCGGAGGTGTTAACGGGACTGTCTGTCTTATCACCATGAGTTCAATGAATTCTCTCCATTTATCGATTTTTTAATCCTCTGAATCATCGGAGCAGTTGGAATTGCCCATTCCCAAACAGTGAAAATAAGATTATTGCGGTGGTCAGTGCCATCGGCGCCATCGTCTCACCAAAATATCCGTTAACCTCACTCTCTCTGCTCCGATTGTGTTCAGTTACATCAATGCCAGTGGCATAATATGAAACTGACGACAACAATTGACACTGATTCACAATTGAGAGGAAATATTTAACAACAAAGAATATCTGAACGTACGTACTATTCTCTGGAATTGTTTCTCCATCATCTTGAAGTTTTTGACGCTGAAATAATTTCAAGGAAATATTTTTGGAGCATTTCAATAGAATACGTCAAGGCCGTTTGCACATTTCGGATATTGTAATCCATTAATTGCTGTTATTCATTAATTTTGATAAACAAACGACATAGAGACCTTTAGAAAAGTCAATAAAATTCAATTTTTCTATATAACTTATTCTATTGAGATACTTTCTATAGAATTTCTTCGGCTCAAATTTCCCAAGTTTTTTCCCAGCGAACAATGGACCGACCACTGACAATGAGTCGGTCATTTGTCGGAATATTATCGGATTTTTTATCGACGAATTGTTGGGAAAATGTCGATAACATTTTTCGATAATCAACCGACCAATTATCAGAAAAGTTTACTATTATAGAAATTATCTGTAAAATTTTGTACTAAATTTGGTGGAAAATAAGGCTAAAATTTGGACTAAAATTTAATTAAAGAAAAGAAAAATAGAATGGAAAAAACTTGGAAAATTTGAGTCGAGCAAATTCTACAGAAAACATATGAAAAGAATGAGTTATATAGAAAAATCGAATTCTGTTGACTTTTTTTATTAAATTTTTTCGTGTGTGTGTGTATATTTGATTTAATTAAGTAATATTTGTAAAATGATTTGGCCCTGTAAGTGGTCTAGGCTGTTGGGTCTCTACTAAAGAAATATCAAATATCTCGAAACTCCCCCGTATGGCCTCTCACAGTTACAGATGCGAAATGACCGTCAGTTTTGTGATTGTGTCATATGACCAAAAAATGACGGTCTTGTGACGGTCGTGTGACGTCCCGAAATTTCTAATGGCAAATGACGGTCACAAATTTTTTATAACCGTCACAAAGAACTTTTGACCGTCAAAAGAGTAAAATAGTAATTTCCGTTACCAAACCATCTATATAGGTGCAAAATGACCGTCATAAATAATTGTTTTTTGTGACGGTCATATAATTTCTACATAATTGGCATCGTTTATTCGTTCAATTTATTATTGATTATCAATTATTGTTCATTATAAGGTTCTTATGGAAGACTCGAAATATATGTGTACAACTGTACAGTAGCTTTTTTTAATTATAAAATTATGAAACATGTGCTTACATATATTTTTGTATACTCATGAGAGAATGATTACACTTTTCATCTTTGGAACAAAATAAACGAAGTCAAGAGTTCTAGTTAATTAGAAAAAAAAAATAGATGAACAAAAAAGTGTTTCATCTATACAGATGCAAAATGACCGTCACAGTTTTTCGGCCAATTGTGACCGTCATGGAAAAATTTGTGACCGGACCGGCGGTCATTGGGGACTCGTCATGTGAGCGTCAATGACGGTGACATGACCACTTTATGACCGGTCACATGACGCCTTGGCATCTCTACTTACAGTCTAATTTCCCTTCCAGCCCCCGGCGCCATCCCATGGAGGCGCCCTACGAGTTTCACCTGCGCCTGGAGCGCCTCGCAATGGTGCAGATCTCGGCGACCCTCTGGAAGCTGCCCCCAGTCCTCCAAAAAATGAAAGCCTTCTTCATGCGAGACCACGCATCCGAGTTCCAGCTGCCCCTCGTGCAGTACATCACGGACCTCCGCCAGAAGGAGAGCTGGGGTGCAATAATAACGCACATCACCTCCATGAAACACCCCTTCCTCCCAGTCTTCCTCAAGTCCTCGGTGATGTACATGGTGGAGCAGATGGGTATGAGGATGTTCGAGTGGCTGCGCAGCATGACAGCGAAGCTCCTGAAGTACTCAAAGACCGAGGACTACCCCAAGAACATCGAATACTTCATCGATCACGTCGAGTGGACGACGATGGGAACCATCGACACGATAAAAGTCTTCAGGGCTCGTTACGAGGACCCCAGCATCGAGAACGACTACTTCATGTGGTACGAGGCCTGCAACTACTGTCGAGGACTGTGCGAAGGACTTGTGGGCGCAGAGATCCCCAGAGTCCAAGGAGAAGACGACCTCCAAGATCAACACGCAGATCGACGACGACTTCTGCCTGGTGGCGTACTGGCAATCGATCATCGATGGAGTTTCTGATCTCAAGCAGAAGCTCTTCCTGAAGAATGGACGAAGTGTCAGTCGTCTCTGCAACTCTCGGGACTCAGTGGCAGTCGTCATGTTCAAATTGTCTGTTCATCTGGGTAATGAGCACGCTGTGAGGTACTTCTGGAACATGATGAACTGCGACGAGAGGACGACCAAGGCCATCACTGGGTGTGAGATCATCCTCGAGAGGAGGTGCACGTATCCTTACTGCTATGCCACGTACTGCAAGAGGTGCAGTGACATCTTCTGCTTTCTGCTGCTGCACATGACTCCGAAGGAGAGGCATCAGATTGCCAACGAGTTCGATAAGACGTACGATCCCTTCAACACTTGGATTCTCCTGCTCAACTGGCCATGGGAGGAACTCTTCGTTCAGACTCTTGAGGGGGCCTGGGCATGCTTCTCCATATTCGATTGCAAGTTTTTTATTAATAAGTTTGAAATTACGGTTTACACGGTCGATGATAATTATAGTCTTGTGCAGACCAGTGTCTATCATAAGGAGATACTTTATAAGGTTTGCATGAACAGTCCGAGGAATTTGAGGCCACATTTCACGAGTAGGTTTAAACAGCTTACTACGCCGCAGGCTGAGGTCGTGAGGAAACCCAGGGTTTTTTTTAGCAGGAGGTGCAGGCATAAGAGGCCCAGGCTGGAGAGGCATGAGTAATTTTGGGGGCGAGAGGTCATGCAGGAGGGGACACGCACGAAAAGAGTTAATTGAAAAACCTATCGAATTCGTTGGAAAATTCTGGTGAATTTCTGTTTAACTTTCTATTAGTTTTTGGCTGGTTCTATTGACATGTTCAGTAGAAAACAGTCAATAGAAAAAAGTCAACAGAAAAGTCAAAAGTCAACAGAATTCGATTTTTCTATATAACTTATTCTTTTCATATGTTTTCTATGGGAATTTGCTCGACTCAAATTTTCCAAGTTTTTTTCATTCTATTTTTTTTTCTCATCAAGAAAATCAAACGAAAAAACTTGGAAAATTTGAGCGAGGAAATTCTATAGAAAATATCTCAATAGAATAAGTTACGTAGAAACATTGAATTCTATTGACTTTTTCTACTGAAGATTTTCTAGTGAACATTTCAGTAGAATCGGCCAAAAACTAATAGAACAGTTCAATAGAATTTTCTAACGAATTCGATAGGTTTTTCTATTAAGTTTTTTCGTCCGTGGAGAGCTGAGAAAATTTCATTGGTGGGGTAAATGGACACCTTGGATTTTTTTTCAATATTCATAAGATGTATGAAAGAATTTAAGACCTGCGTGTGTCATCTTTCGAATGTAATCTGGGCCGTTTTTTTTATTTTGATAATCTGAAGTGTTCTTCAATTGTCATTCAGTTTTACATACCCTTGGAGCCTTCAAAAATTATGCTTTCACAATCAAAGGTGCATAATTTTCTACAGAAATGGTGCAAAAACCGAATAAAATTTTCTAATAGAATTTCAAGAGAATTGTTATAGAGTTGTTTTTCCATTAAATTTTGTCATGCGCGAACTGAGAAAGAATTTTATTAAATGAACCGTCTATTGAGCTAAAAATTGTTTCAGTTCATCGATAATGAGTCATTAACATTCCAGAAAAGTCAAGTGTCTATTTTATCCCACCGTTTCCGATAAAATTTTGAATTTTTTGTTAGATATGGAGTACGAGATGAGAGTGAATGAGTGTAAAGGTTCACAAAATGTCCAGAGGTTTTTTTGGAAAGATTTTTACAGCTGCAAGAAAAGATCTCTTGATATTGTTTACTAGAATCACTTGTCATTAGGAGTGACTAATAATCGTTTATTTATTGACGTGTGAGTGAGAGAACAACATCTGGGACATTTCTCAATTGTCTGGTTCATGAATTGAGAAGAACGCGTCAAAAAACTTTCTTTATAAATTTTATTCTCTGCGAAAAAAATTATTTTACACTTTTTTGCGAGATCAATTTATAATTAATGAGGTGAGAATGAGAAAGTTTTGGGGTAGAGGATTTTTTGTTGAGAATTTCCTCTGCAATTTATGAGGGAATCCCTTCACAGCTGATTTTTCTGAATCAGAGTCGTGATCCTCATTTTATAAATGAATGTGAACACCTTTTTTCAATTTCTTCTATTATAATGGGTCGTTTGAGCGACGTGTACATAGTTAATGACATTGTATCGATGGGGCCGATTCTAATTACCAATTTCGTTTTTTATAACACATAATAAAATTTCTTTAAAAACCTAGGGAATTCGATAGAAAATTCTATTGATTTTCTATTCAATTTCCATTGAAAATTCTAGTAGTTTGTTGTGGATTCTATTGAAGAATTTTGTCCAACAGAATGTCCAATAGAAATTATTTTATAGAATGAATTGTTTAGAAAAATATAATTCTGTTCATTTTTTCTGCAGAATATTTTCAATTAAACATTGCCATTGGAAAGCAAACCCGAAGATGAGCCGCGGAATTTTTAAATGGAATCGGCCAATTTTGTAGCGTTTTCGCTAGGTTTTTCTGTGCAATTTTTTTTATACGGGAATTAATATCGATGTTGGCGAATTCATGAATATTATCATTGTAGATTTGTATGAATTAAAAAGTGAAGATATATCTATACTAGGGGAGTCATGAAATATGAAGATAATTGTCATATTAAATGTGAAAAAATATAATTAATGATAATGAATTTCATCTGACTTTATGGGATGATTTGCTCCATTTTTCATGTCGGATTACAATTTTATTTTCCGTATATTTTCTCTTTATTTTTGCCGTACGTTTTATTGACATTGGATTTACGCAATTATGCGGTTGATAATCTGAGGAGCAATTTTATTCTTTTCAAATGATTTTTTTGTTGTACAAATGGACTTTCGAATGATTTATTTTGATAAACGATTCGTTCATGGGAATCACTGACATTTGTCAATTGAATTGATGGACAGATCGATGTATTACACTGTGGAAATAAAAATTATTTAGGAATATAAGTTTTCAATACAATTTTGATGTCTAAAGATTTGTTTTTATCCAGATTTTTTTTAGTTGTGCAGCAGTCAAATTTCAAAGAACGAATTCGTAATTGTTATTGTCCACATTTTCTCAAAAATTTTGAAACAAAACTGTAGCTTAAAAATTGGAGGCCCTGGACTTTTTTTAACATTTTAAGCGTCTGCGGGGCAAGCAAATAATGAACGATTAATTTTTTTGCACTAATTATTCGTTTTTAGACATATAATGAATCTTGAATGCATGAGAAATTTCACTCCAATATGAGATTACGTGTATCAAAGCGTCATTTACCTGCACTGAGAGAAAAACAAACACGTTCTCAAACAAGTCTTGTTTGGGCCAACACAATCGCTAGTTGAAAATTTCCAAAAAAGAATTTGTTTGGTTCGAATTTGAAAGTCTCAAGCATGAATAATTGTTCTGCTCTCGACAGCAACGAAATATTTGGCTCAAGAGGCGGATAACTCACACCAGACGGTGCCTTTTCAGGATGAAAATATCTCATACAGAGGAAAATTTATCAACAAATATTTTATCCCCAAGTTACAAGATTGCTATCATATCATTATTTTTGTTTCATTTAAGGGTTCATTTGTTGTCTGTGATTATTAGACAGCCGAAACGAAAAACTACTATCCCTTGTTTCGCATAAAACAAAGATTTTTCTGGAGCAAAATACGTAAATGACATTTTCATCACACTGTGTGAAAAAGTAACTTTTTAGGCACGCTTAGCGTGCCTAAAACGTCCCTTTTCCGCACATTGTGTTTTCTATGGGCGCTAATAACTCGTGGGATTATAAACCTCCCACGAGCCAAAAAACGCTTTTCCGCACTCGTAACGAAATATACTATTTCGTGACGCTGTGCGAAAAAGTAACTTTTTAGGCACGCTTAGCGTGCCTAAAACGTCCCTTTTCCGCACATTGTGATGAAAAATATCGTTCGATACTCGTGGGAAAAGTGTTTTTTGACTGGTAGGATTATATCCCTCGCTTTCAGCTCGTGCTATAAACCTCCCACGAGCCAAAAAACTCTTCCGCACTCGTGACGAAATATACTATGCTTCCGTCTACAGAGAATGCAATTTTTTTGAACTACTAAATCTATTTCTGCGACAAAAATTTTTCATTCCGGCGCACTCCCTGCATTTTTGGCCCAAAAAATCCTTTTTCATCACGCTGTGACGAAAAGTGAACTTTTCGGCACGCTCCGCGTGCCTGAAAGTCCAATTTCCGCCACATTGTGATGAAAAATATTGTTCGTAACTCGTGAAAAAATGTTTTTTAGCTCGTCGGATTATATCACTCACCTTCGACTCGTGATATAAACCTCCCACTCGCCAAAAACCACTTTTTTGCGAATTCCGAACTCGTTACGAAATATACTATTTTGATAATTCTCAAAATAGTATATTTCGTGAGAATTATCAAAATAGTATATTTCGTAACGAGTGCAAAAAAGTGTTTTTTGGCGAGTGGGAGGTTTATATCACGAGCCGAAGGCGAGTGATATAATCCAACGAGCTAAAAAACATTTTTTCACGAGTTACGAACAATATTTTTCATCACAATGTGGCGGAAATTGGACTTTTAGGCACGCGGAGCGTGCCGAAACCTTCACTTTTCGTCACAGCGTGATGAAAAATTATTTTCTTGGCACAAGTAAGACTTGTTTGAGAACTTTGTCGTTCTTCTCTCAGTGCGGTCTATTTTTTCCGCCCACTCGTTATTCAAACTTCGAAAACTTCCTCCGCGCCATCTCCCGCAATTGTTCCGCACCAAGCGACACTACCGCCGCGACGGCCAAGCTGCCAACCCCGAAATTTTCACTCCCCCTCCTCCCGCCCGTCCCTCGTCCATCGCGCCGATGGTAGTCAATCGCGTGTTTCGCTGTGGTTTAACCTGATCGGCGGTTCGTGTACCAAAGAAGAAAAAAAACAATAACAAACGAGAAAAAGTTCACTCCCCGTAACAATCGTACTCAAAGCAACAATGGATCGTGATGTCTGAGCCTCGGTGAATTACGTGCAAAAATAGTCGGGTTTATGCGGGGGTGAATGTGACTGTGAACCTGCAAATATGTGTTCAACCGATCTTTGAATGTGTGTGCGATCGGCAGACACGAAAAATATGGCCCAAGAGACGGACGACATAAATCTCACTCCCCAGGAGTTGCAGATTCTGTCGGAATTGGACAGGTAATGATTGCCGGGATTATTTACGGGGTTTATGGTGTTAATGAGGGTGTCAGGGGCTTGTATTTCACTGTTGTCAGTCGAGTGATTTTGGACAGTCTAACCTAGAAGTTTTGACAATAAATGGGCGGGCTATTTGATACGTCTGTCGGGCGGACCTACTGACATCCTTTCACGTTCTACATTCACTTTTGTGTTTTTATTTTTCATTAAAAAATGGGGGGGATTGAAAGTGGAATTATCGGGGGACAGTGGAACGATGGGATATTGGGTTCGGGGGAGGAATGGGTGGGATTTTATCGAAAGTGGTGACGGGTTTTGGGAATTTGATGGGGACATTCAGGCGGAAATTAGAAGAGGTTGGGGTAAAACGAACACTTTTGACTTTTTTAAGTGTTAATGAGGGGCTGACATGTTGATGAAATTTAATAATTGTTTTTTCAACACAAAGAACAATTCTTTCCCTTTGTGACGAGACTAAGCTGAGCTCAATTGATCAATTTGTTTCTGAGTTATGAATAATTCAGTAGCGAAGTGGTCAAACGGTTTAAGTCGACTTAACTCTTAGCTGAGTTTTCGAGAAATATCTCCAAATCTAAGGAAGATAGCGGATTTTATCAAAAGTGGTGACGGGTTTTGGGAATTTGATGGGGACATTCAGGCGGAAATTAGAAGAGGTTGGGGTAAAACGAACACTTTTGACTTTTTTAAGTGTTAATGAGGGGCTGACATGTTGATGAAATTTAATAATTGTTTTTTCAACACAAAGAACAATTCTTTCCCTTTGTGACGAGACTAAGCTGAGCTCAATTGATCAATTTGTTTCTGAGTTATGAATAATTCAGTAGCGAAGTGGTCAAACGGTTTAAGTCGACTTAGCTGAGTTTTCGAGAAATATCTCCAAATCTAAGGAAGATACCGAAATTTTCGCCTCAATCTTTTTTGAAGCTCTCGATGTCGTCTACCGAAAAGGTCATAACAGAAATTTTGTTATCTGCCTTAGATTGCGAGATATTCATTGAAAAATTTAGAGTCAAGTGGACATGAAAATGGAAAAATACGAGGGATGAAACACCTTCTTGATATTTCTGGAATACAATTCTTCTAGAGGAGCTCAAATTTGAATTGTTCACATCTATTTTACTAGACTAAACGCTAGTAAAAGATGAAAAAAATGATTTTAAGGATGATTTTCCAACCGGGGAAGACTAATTATTATATTATTGTTCAAGTTTCAATGAAGATGAGTAAAAAATTAATTATCGTAAGGTGCAACTTCTCATAGTATTACTAAAGTAACGATTGATGCCGATCTATAATTATGATTAAAACTTTATTCAGTGAGCATAGAGGAGTCAAAACATGAGCAATTCATTCATTGTAATATGAAATTTAATAATTGATAAATTAGAACATATGATTGTCATCGGTCGTATTGCTTTTTGCAATGAGAAAGATGATAAAAAATTAAGTGAAATCACCACAAAGATATTCATGATGAGTGATCATTAAAGTAGCTCTACCCTTACGGTAAATTCTGCAAAAAAATTGCTGAAAACTCGATTAGATTCGGAATTCTAATTTTTTTCTCAATTTAATTATCGTTTTGGTTTTTCAAAGAAGAAATGTTTGAAAATCAGGATTTAACCCAGTGTCTTATGTGAAAATCAACATTTCCATTGCAATCAAAGATTAAAATCTGAATTTTTTTTCATTAGATGTGAAGAAATCAAGAATTTTTTTGACACCTCATAAAAAATAATCCACCGTTTTGCAAACAACTTTTATTATTTATTTATAAGAGGGAAATGTTTGAAGAAATATCAATATTTTGCGAAATTTAATTTAGATAATACCGACTGGATATGAATTTTTTCAAATTTTTTCCATGCAATTTATTTGAATAATTTAAAAACTGAAAATATCCGAAAGTGCAGCGCAGCCCGGCCGAAGGGTAGAGCTACTTTGAACAGTGAAATGAGTTGAAGAAATAAAGAAAAACCTTTAATATTCGTTGCAGCCGGCAATTCGGCTTCCTAAAGCTCAATGCTCTTGAGCAAACGAAGAAAAAATCCCTGGTGGTGCGTGCAATAAAGTATCTGGAGAGAATGCTCGTCCAGGCTCAATCTGAGAAGCAAAAAAGAAGGGCTGATAGCACTAAAGGAGGCTACGACGAGTCTAAAGATGATGATGAGGACAAGGGGATCAGCATTGACCCCAAAACGTACTGCAAGCTCGGCCACTTCCATCTGCTCCTCGAGGATTACCCTAAAGGTATTTTTAACGTTACGAAAATAATTGAGAGGCCCGTGGGCGGTAATATTATCAACAATTTTTTTTTACCACAATTGGATATTATTTTAATAATTCGTAATGACGAATTGATCATTTTTACTCGATTGTAAATTTTAAAATATAAATTTTTCAAAATTTGTCAATAAATAACAAAATCTGAAGCTATTCATGATGAAGTAAACAGCAAAATTTGCACCTTCATTGATGGGAAAAGTAGTCTCAATTTGTATTAATTCATTTATTATTAATGTGATGGTAAAATGTTGCAAATGGACATCAGCCAGTTTTCAATGAATATCTCGGAATTTAAGGGAGATAGGAAAATTTTTGTAATAACCTTTTTTGTAGCTCTCGATTCTCCCTATAAAAAAGGTCCTCACAAAAATTTCGTTATCTCCCTTAGATTCGAAGATATTCGTCGATAACTGAGTTGAGAACAAAGTTAACTTTTTATGATTTAAATTCTAATTTTTCCTCTTTCTGATTATTTTTACAGCAATGTCAGCGTATCAAAAATTTTATGCGCTCAAGGGGGATCACTGGAAGGATGCGTCCTTTCTCTACGGGCAGGGGCTCGTCTATTTCCACTTCAATGCCTTCCAATGGTGAGTGAATTCAAAATACAATCCAAATTTTATGATTGATTAGTGAACTGAAATGATTTTTGGAAATGAGTTCGTTAATGAAGATTCATTTTTTATATTTAAACGCTTATGAAACAATGGAAAAATTCTATTTTTCAAATTTCCGATTTCTATCGGGTAGTTAATGTAATAGCGCCGAAAATAAAAACTGGAAATTTCATGATATCTTCACGTTTCGTGACCTCTAGAAACTATCTGAAGTTTTTAGAGGAATACTTGCCCAACGATTAAATTTTTTTCTCATGCAATCGATGCATTTTCACGTAATTTAGAGCTGATCAGATTTTCAACGACATTTTCCCGGCGGTTCTCTAGATTTATCAATAAAACTAGTTAAAGAAATTCGAAAAATTACATTTTTTGCGAATTTCATTATTTTTCTTGGAGAAATTATGGGATTTATTTGTCTTCATCACAGTCGATAATAGTTCTTACTTGAACTAAAGACTTTGTGTTAAAATACAAAATAGAAAGTTGAGATCTAAAATCTGCAATTAGTCTGAAATATTTTATCGACATATTTTTGGGAATTATTACTCACTCAGTCATTTGTATCAAATTGACTTTCGCTTTGATTATTTTAATTACTATGTATGTTATGGGTTATTATCACATAATGTGAATACGTGATTTTTAGATGGTGTCTAGGCCAATTCTATTGAAATTATGCAACTCCCCTGTGCGTTTTTACACAGATGTTGATTCTTCTGTTTTCCTATGAATTTTCGATTTTTTCCTTCCGAAGCTTCGCAATTGCTCAAATCTAAATCTCCAATTTTTTTCTCAGTGTAACTAAATATAGTCTAAAAAGTGAAGACTGCTTTCGTTCGATGAATTTCCGCTGACAATAGGAATCTTCGGTTCCACTTTCATAAATACCTTCAGCCATTTCCGAAAACTGCACGAAACAGCAGAAAGTATGACTGTCTCTTCCTTGAAGACAATTTTTTTCGCATTTCCAGATAATTATTTCCACTTTCTCAAGTAAATTGATCAATCAATTGCTGAAGAATAAGCAAAAAGTTGCGGATACGAATGAGTTCAGGTGCCACTTTCTCATCATCCCCAATGATTCCTCTTACGTAGAGTAAAACGGGCTCTAATTTCCAGTAAAAATCATTGAATTTAAAAATTTTCACCTGCTGAAATCTAGCGAGCAAAAAATCGAGGAAATATGTGAAAATCGGAGAAAACAAAGGTCTAATATCTCTCGATTTGAGGCCAATACCGCTCAGTGCCTGACAGCTCACGTATGCAATTGTTTGTGGCTGGAAAAAATCATGCAAGTACAACATAATTAGTGATTCCTCTAATGAAAATCTATTTTAAGAGATATTTTCGAATCATGAAAGAAGAATTTGAAAATGACAATGGCTGTGACATTCTATATAATCCGTCAATGCACTGTTCGAGAGGTTTGGTGACTCCTTCGGATGGTTATAACGAATAAATATTCAAATGTATAACTTATTCTAAAAGAGAATAAATTGTTCAAACGAAATAGAGCCGTAATATTTTATTATTATTCCCTAAAAAAAAACATGGAATAATGATTGAAGTACCATTCTCACATTTTCAGAATATCATTTTGTTCTAATGCATTTCAATTTATCAAATAAACTCTGAATTCCATTCATTTCATTGAGTCATCCAACATCGGAGATTTTTTTATTTTAACAGCTATTGACTAGCGGTTAGGTACTGAGCGATATAGGAATCAGACTGAGCGGTATTAGCTGCATGCGATCAGTGCCGCTCACTCGGTCCCTATCTTCAAGATATTCACGTTTTTGTCTCAGCAACTCCCATTTACACTCATGTTAAAGTGTTTTTTTCATCATTTTTTCGTCATTTTTGACCCCATAAGGATCATATTGGGCTCAAAATGTGCGCAAGGTTATAAATATTATCAGAGTATACATAACTCCATATCGACAAAGTGATCCCTTTTCATGCGGACGTCCACATTTATTGATAATTTATCGGAATTGAAACAAGAATTGAGGATCCAAGACTCCTAAATATCTAGCTGAATGGCCAAAGAATGCCATGCGACTGTAATTTCTATCCGAAATCATGGTTTGGTATGCGAAAATTATCGTTACTCCTTATGTGAGCGGTACAGGCACCACTTCCCCTACGATATTTCCATTCGCCAACCAAAAATTGCGTAAACAGGGATTTTAAAAATGCTTTGGGCTCGAGTGAGAGTTGCTTGCCTTGGAAAAAGGGTGGGGACCATCAGCCCTTGCGCAGTTCATCGTTCTCGCTCTCAATCCACTATTTCATTTCCTTTTATTTTTTCTCCTTGCTTTTTTCACTTTAAAAAAGAATTTAAAATGTCGGTCATGTCGTCCTCTCCGTGTTCATCTGTCGACGATGAGAATCCACTCTCCCTGTTTTATCGGGGGCGAGCTTGGGGATATATTCTTGTCTTTGAGACAAGTGCACAGATGTCGGAGTAGTCGAGATTTGAATTCGACTTTTGTGGACTTCCCAGGCCTCTGGGGAAATACTCGCGGTCTACGTGCACAACTCGCACTCCCGCATGGCCGAATGGGCACATTTGGCTGCGGGGGAGGGGTTGAGGGCTGGTGCAAGTGTTGAAGAGAGCGCGCTATGCTGAATTAGAGAAACGCAAGCGCTAGATAACGAAGAATTAATTCTTCAATTATCGATTTAACGTCAGTTGTTCTGTCAATTTATAGTTCATTCAGGGCAACACTGATGGGTTTCACATTTTCAGGTGTACTTTTGCAATGGTGATGATAATTCAAGTTGCCAGGGGAAGTTGAGAGAAGTGGGTCGGAGTTAATGGAATCTTCAATGAAAATTTTAATGACTGAAATAGATGGGAGTGGTGGGCTATTTTCGAGCTTTGTTGCGTGGTTGGAGGCGATGTTTGGGTGCAGTTGCATTTTTTGGAAGGGAATTTGTGGGATGAGTAGGAGGGTTTGTTATAATTCGATCTCCCAAGTTTGTGGACTAACGGTTGAGAGCAATTTGAAAATTGCACTCGTGACTGGGGCTTCAGAAATTGAATAACATTGTTGAAACATTAAAAATTGAGTTGAAATCGAACTGTCGATACTGTTTTTGACAGTATTAAAAAAGGATTATCTCATTGTATTGTTCAAAGTTTAACGGTATTTAACAAATCAGTAGTGAAGCGGTAAACCGAGTTAAGTCGATTTTGACTATTAGCCAGTTTTTGCTGAATATCTCGGAATCTAAGAGAGATAGCAAAATTTTTCTCATGACTTTTTTTATAACGCTCTATTGGCTCTACAAAAAAGGTCATGACAAAAATCTTTCTATCTCTTTTAGATTCCGAGATATTCGTCAAAAACTAGCCAATAGTAAAAATCGACTTGACCCGGTTTACCGCTTCGCTACTGAAATTTAAAATATTATAAAATTTATTGACTAAATTTTCCGATTAATGGTGAATGAAGAGAGCACCCATCGATGTCTGGAGGTTCTCAATTCGGAAAATAAATAAACGAATGAAATGCGAATGAATAAAATCACAATATTTATCATAAACCATTGCATGCGCATCATCAAATCGATTCCCCCCCCCCCCCTCTTGCGAATAAACCATCTCCCCCAGTAGTAACAGATGACTCGTAAGTTTCGGTCAATAAGTGCAGTAGTATTTAAACTCAAAATGGGGGGGGGGAGTCGGCTTTTCGGCAAGAATAATTGTACCGAGACACGAAACGATTAAAGTTTGGAATTGAACAATGTGTCGAATGTATCCTTCCCCTTTTCAACTCCCTCTCTCCCGCCAAATGGTGGAAATATCTGGGATTTGTGTTGAAGGGTAGAATTCAGCGATGCAGATCCATGCGCAGAGATTCTGAAGGATTCTCACCCCTTGGTAACTGTTTCCCAAGCCCTGCTGGGAGGGTTGGGGAACGAGTGCGCAATCACGAAGAGTCAGGGGGAGAGGTGAAGACTACGGGATCCTCTGAATAGTTAAATTCAGTCGAGAAATATTTTGTCCAGTTCTATTTTATTTTTCCTCTATTTTTAAAAATAGCTTACAGGAATTAATTGCTGATTTTTCTTTATTTTGGTATCTCAGAAGTAATTTTTTGAGCTGAGGAAATTGAATAGACAGTTAGGTAGTGGAGTGGTCAATCGGTTTAAGTCGGTATTTTATTTTTCCTCTATTTTTAAAAGTAGCTTACAGGAATTAATTGCTGATTTTTCTTTATTTTGGTATCACAGAAGTAATTTTTTGAGCTGAGGAAATTGAATAGTTAGGTAGTGGAGTGGTCAATCGGTTCAAGTCGGTATTTTATTTTTCCTCTATTTTTAAAAATAGCTTACAGGAATTAATTGCTGATTTTTCTTTATTTTGGTATCAGAAATAATTTTTTGAGCTGAGGAAATTGAATAGACAGTTAGGTAGTGGAGTGGTCAATCGGTTCAAGTCGGTATTTTATTTTTCCTCTATTTTTAAAAATAGCTTACAGGAATTAATTGCTGATTTTTCTTTATTTTGGTATCACAGAAGTAATTTTTTGAGCTGAGGAAATTGAATAGATAGTTCGGTAGTGAGAGGGTCAATCGGTTTAAGTCGATTTCATTCTGCGATCAGTTTTCGATGAATTGCGCGCAACCTAAAGGAAATAGCGAAAATTTTCGTACATACTTTTTTTTTTGAGAAAAAAGAGAGGAACAAATAATGTTTTCACAAAAATTTCGCTGCTGCTCTTACCCGAGTCGAATAATTGAACCTGACAAGTGCTACTTAGGTCCTTCCGTTCAGAACTGGATAGGTGTTGGGAAGCCTCTTCCCAAGTGCTTCCGAGATCTTTCTACCTCTGGTTATGTCCCATTTCAGCACTCGTGAGCTGTAAGCAGGACTAGTATTCAGACTTTCCAAATCCTTGCCGCTCCCCGTAATCCTATGGGCCTATATTAAATCTGGGTTCATATCCCTGTTTACG